AGAGAGAGAGAGAGAGAGAGAGACAGAGACAGAGAGAATAAAAAATGAAAAAAAAAAGAAAGCAAAAGACTGAGAGACTATTGTCAAGATCAAAGTATCTTTGTTCATCTTTTTCAACAAAAAGACGGCCGAACAAAGCAAGGGTGAGCTACGTTTGTATGAAGTGCGCTTAGCTCAATTATAGATCCCAAACTGGGAGCCTGAAAAGGTTTTTTTTTCAAAAGAAGCAATGATATTTTGAAATTGTTCTTTTCTTTGTACTTAAAATATCGACCTGGGGTTATATAAAAGATTTGAATATTGGATTATAGAAACCTTTACACTGGTGGTAATAATTGACCAGACCATACTCCTTTAGATCGTGGATTCTAATGGAGCTCCATCCATCTTTCTTCTTCCCACATTCCAAAGAAAGGTATCCAGAACAAAATCTAGACTGAATCCCCCCACCCCTCCTTCCGCCCCCTTTTACATCTTCATTTTCCGTCCCCTGGAGCAAAAACAATTTTACGACTGTCCTAAGTATCACAACATCAGATAACCGATAACGAACTGATCGGGAAACATGACTAGTAAAAAAGGCTACACTCACCCACCTCCCTCCCTCCCCCCCCACAAAAAAAGAAAACCCCTACAAAAACACAACAAACTACAACAAAACAAAAAAGCAATAAAAAAAGGCAAAGGCCAAAGCCAAACAAAATCAAAGACACCAACCGGGTTACTAATGAAAAAACAAAACCCCACTCTTACAAAAACAACTAATGAGTACCCTCTTTAGTTTGAAATTGCTTCCAACCAATGAAAAAGCAATAAGAAGCAAACTATCAATCCTTCTCTCCCTCAGACTACCGACTCAACAACCTACCCACTAGACTACCGACTCAACAACTTAACCTCTAGGCCACGAGAGCCCCCTGAATGCGTGTCGTTGTCCTTATTGTTATCGATCCAGTATAATAATATATATAATATAGAAGTCGATATATTTGCTATTGAAGGAGACGGGGGTCGCCTGGTGTCAGAGATAACATTGTCTAGAAAAATAGCCTCCAAAGTTAGGTAACTTCCAAAGCTATAGCGTCCTTGAAAACAGCAAATTTACATTTTGACCTTTTCATCAGCATTTATCAATAAAATCCGCCCAGAAATATGTTCTTAGATGGGCATAAAAAGGTTTTGAGACAAAAATAAGAAGAAAACAAAAGGATGGAAATTGCCCAATGGGTGAGAAAATGTCTAATTACCTCGATTTCATTATTTTAACGAGCGCCCGATTTCTCAACGATGCCACTCTTTTGCAGGAAGTCGCCTGGGGGAAAGGACAAGGTACTTTTATAAAGAAAAGTTGCTGGGATATCCGATAAAGATGTGCATATTGAACAGGCTAGGGAATACGATGAAAGAAAATTTATGCATAAACGACAACCCGATTCCGTTCCTTTTTTGTCTTTCTGCACTGTGTGTGTTTGTGTGTATGTGTGAGTGCGTCTGTGTATGTGTGTGTGCGTGTGTGTGTGTGTGTGTGTGCGCGCGCGCGCGCGCGCGCGCGC